CGCCGAAGGCCCTATGGGGAGCTCCACCGAAGGCCCCAGTGGCAGCGCCCGCGTGCCATCGCCATTCCACTTCCCTCACAAGGTTCGTGCCCTCATAAGGAGCTCCGCCGAAAACGATATTCACAGATGCGGCACTCGCAGATGCATATGGATGGGTCCTTCGCCAGGATGATGGTTTTGGCTTACTGGGAGGAGGAGGAGGAAGAGGAGGAGGAGGAGGAGGAGGAGGAAGAGGACGAGAAGAGAAGAGAAGAGAAGAGAAGAGAAGAGGAGGAGGAGGAGGAGGAGAAGGATGAAGAGAGGTATGAGGACGAGGAAGAGGAGGGGGAGGAGGAGGAGACTGAAGGAGGAGGAGGAGGAGGGATATATAGAGAGAGGGAGGGAAGTAAGAGGAGGAGGAGGAGGAGGAGAAAGAAGGGAAGTGGAGAAGAGGGAGGGAACGGATGAACGAAACGGAGGTGGAATAAGCTATGCTAAGCTATGCCATTTGTCCCTGAAACGCGCAGGGCCCAAACGAGCCTGAAACCAAAGAAACGAATGTATCCAGCGAGACGCACGCCGATTAGCGAAGCTGACTGTGGACTGCACCGGCGCACTCGAATGCCAATGTCGAGTGAACCCGTGCAGACTTCCTCAGTCGACTCATCTGGGGGGGCGTTCTGTCAATGCCAAATTTTCGGCGTCCCGGGGCCCTCACCGGGCCTCGGAAACGTCAAACACACAACTATGGATGAAAAACCAGTCTTGGGGAAGTGGTCGGGAGGTTGGGGGCCCGTGCCCGTGTCTCGAACAAAATCGAGACGCATGGATATCCAGAACCACCATACAAAAAAAACTGTTGGAGCTCGGCGCGGATTTCTTGGATCGGCGCTGGGCCCCCCCCCGTGGCGGCGCCTCCGGCCTCGCCCCTGGCGCGCTCCGCGCGCCAGGGAGGGGGTGTGCGGTGTCCCCGGCGCCGATCCAAGAAATGCACACGGAGCCCCGAGGCTGTGCTCGTACACTTGCTTCTCCCTGGGGCGACAAAGTCCATGCGACATCTCCACCGCTCTCTGGCCAGGCCCGTCCTGAACCCAGCAGCAGCGTATACGCCACGCCTTTCCTGGCTTGGCGAAGCGGGCTTACAATTATACACACACCTCCTGGGCCCCAGAAGGGCCCGGCCAGGGGGGCAGTGGCCATGTAGACTTAGACTTCGTCGCCCGCCTCCCTCCTCGAGCCTCGCAGTCCTGCGTCGGCGGCGGGGGCGGCTCGGGCTGCGTGGCCTGCACGCCCCGGGACCTGGTGCGCACCGCCTCGGCCTCGGCCTGCACGCAGCGGGACTCCGTGGCGGGCGCCTCCGTCTGCGTGCTGCGGGAGGCGGCGGCCGGCAGGCCCTGCTGCGTCCCCTGCTCGGCGGTGCACCTCGGGGGCGGGAACGCGATGAGCTGGACCTGGAGGCCTCCCATCTGGGGTGCGAGAAGATGGGGTCGAGGGATCATGCATCGTCGATGCATTGGCGGCGTGATCGATGCACCGGCGACGTCTGCGTGGAGAAGATCGGGCTTCACATCGAGCTACGTCGTCGTTGCATCGACGATGCGGCGCAGTCCTCCGACCCCATCTACTCGGACCCTATTTGGGAGGCCTGGCGGACCGCGAGGTGCAGCAGCACGGCCACGACCTCTAGAGGAAGAGGAAGAAGAAGACACACGTAAAAACTTCAGGGTTTCGATCGGCACTGGACCACGCCCTCCTTGGCAGCGGGGCCCGGCTCCGATCCAAAGGAATTTGTACGGAGCTCCGACCCTGAGATCCGGCGTTGCGGAACAAAAAAGCACGACCGCACCCCATCTTTCTGCTGCGTGTCGGGCCGGGACGAACCGTGATGCTCCTGGGGCCCAGCGCCGATCCAAGAAATCCGCGCGGAGCTCCAAGAGTACATGCTCATGTAAGGATGGCGCTGCAAAGGTAACGTGGAACATCGATCCCCGAAGAGCACTCTGTCCATGTGCGGCGATCCCCCCGCGAAGGCCTCTTCTGCCCACGCTATCCCCCTGCGGAGGCCTCGTCGGTGCACGCTATCCCCCTGACAGGGCTTCCTCGGTGCACGCTATCCCCATGGTGGGGCATAACGTGTAATAAGCGGGCCAGCGGAGCCACATCGTACGCTATCTTTGCAACGCCAACCGTGAATATGGTTTCGCAACCATCCTGTGGTATTGAGTCCTTCGTTTTGGAAAGACAGTGCCCCGCGTTCCTTACGTCCTTGCTTCCTTCCTTCAATCCTTCCTTCCTTCCTTCTTTTCCTCACCCTCCTTCATCCTCCCACCCTCCCGCTGCCCTTTCCCTCCTTCCCCCGAAAATGCTTCTGCCCTCCGCAAGTCCTCATCTGTACTATGATCACGCGCACAGGGAGCTCCACCGGAGGCCCCAGTGGCTGCGTTCACATGCGTCCCGCGCCACTTTCAGCAAACCCCTCACACGGTTCGCGGCCCCATGGGGAGCTCCACCGAAGGCCGCAATGGCTGCGTTCACATGCGTCCCGCGCCTATGCCGGCAAACCCCACACACGGGGTTCATGGGGAGGTCCCCCGAAGGACCCAATGGCTGCGTTCACATGTGTCCCATGCCAATTTCGGCACATCCCTCATACGGTTCGTGGCCCCATGGGGAGCTCTACCGAAGGCCCCAGTGGCTGTGACCACATGCGTCCCGTGCCCATGTCGGCACACCCCTCACACGTTTCGTGGCCCCACGGGGATCCACCGAAAGCCCCAATGGCTGCGTTCATATGATTCCCCTGCCCACTTCAGCACACCCCTCACATGGTTCGCGGCCCCATGGGGAGCCCCACCGAAAGCTCCAATGGCTGCGTTCACATGCGTCCCGCGCCACTTTCGGCAAACCCCTCACACGGGGTTCGTGGCCCCGTGGGGAGCGCCACCGAAGGCCCCAGTGGCTGCATTCACATGCGTCCGGCGCCCATGTAGACACACTCCTCACACCCTTCGCGGCCCCATTGGGAGCTCCACCGAAGGCCCCAGTGGCTGTGACCACATGCATCCCCGCCATAGATGTCGGCACACCCTTCACAGGTTTCGTGGCCACATAGGGAGCGCCACCGAAGGCCCCAGTGGCTGTGTTCACATGCGTCGCCGCCACAAATTTCGGCACACCCCTCACACGCTTTGTGGCTCCAGAGGGAGCTCCACCGAAGGCCCCAGTGGCTGCGTTCACATGCGTCGTCGCCACAAACCTCGGCACAACCCTCACACGCTTCGTGGCACCATAGGGAACGCCACCGCAAGCCCCAGTGGCTGTGACCACATGCGTCCCCGCCACGCATTTCGGCACACGCCTCACGCACTTCGTTGCCCCGCAGGGAGCCCCACCGAAAGCCCCAATGGCTGTGACCACATGCGTCCCCGCCACGGCACACCCCTTACATGCTCCTTGGCTCCATAGAGGTCCATTGACGAGGATACGCACCACTTCGGTACTCACAACTGCATATGGCTGGGTCCTTCGCCAGGATCAGTTTCGTTTGCGTCTGCGAGGCCTCGGCGCTCGAGTGGTGCCCCACCTGGGAGCTCCCAGCGCACAGCTTGCCGCGCTCCGCCGCCCTGCAGAGGTCCAGCACGTGCGCCTCTCACGGGCGGTACACACCCACACACCCACGCACGCACGCACGCGCGCGCGCGCTCGCACGCACGCACCCGCACACATTCACACACATTCACACACACGCACGCACGCACGCACGCACACACAGACACAGACACAGACACAGACACAGACACAGACACAGACACAGACACAGACAGACACAGACACACACGCACACACACACACACACCCACGCGCACACGCACACGCACACGCACACGCACACGCACAAGTACACGCACTCGCACACGCACACGCACACGCACGCGCGCACGCGCGCACGCACGCACGCACGCATACACGCACGCACACACACACAAACACGCACACACAAGCACACACACACAAGCACGCGCGCACCCACGGACGCACGCACGCACGCACGCACGCACCCACAACACACACACACACACGCGCACACACACACACACACGCACTTTTTGTTTACAGCCGCAGGCGAAAGCGCCGACGGCGGGCGGTCACGGTCGGGCTGCGGCCGCGACTAAATTCCCGAGCGCGCGCGGGGGCCGCGGATCAGGCGGCGGGGGACGGCAGCGCCCAGGGCGTCTGAAGGCCAGGCGAGCGTGCAATCCAGGGAGTCTGCAAAGACGCCCAGGGACGTGCAAATGGCAAACGCACACACACGCACGCGCGCACACGCAAATGCACAAAAACACGCAAGCACACAAGCACACAAGCACACGAGCACACAAGCACACAATCACACACACACACACACACACACGCAAACACAAACACACATACGCACGCACGCACACAGTCACACACGCGCACACGCACACGTACATATCAAGGGCCCCAGGGATTATCCACTTATTCCAGGATTATCCATCTCTTCCACTTCATGGTTCATCTACTCCCATATTCTCATAGGGGATCAGCGTTTAGGTGTACCCCTCCTAGACATCTCCGTATCCGCGCCCTCGCGGTCTGGATTCTAGGGCGCGAGGTTCTGCGGATGCGCGGTCGCACGGTTACACGCTCCGCGCGGGGGCATCCACGACAAAAAGCCCCGCATCCGCAGAGTTGCGGCCCATGCCCGCGAGGCCGCGGATATGCGGACATGTGGTTCGCCCACGAGCCTGAGGACACCGAGACGTACCCATACCGCTACTCCCCGCACCTCTCCTGGGGCGCGTTCGGACCAGGACTTCGAGGCGAATCCTGCGCTGGCGACGAGGGCCTCCCAGGAAGCCGAAGAACGGGAAACCGACGGAGGAGCAGCGGTAGGGGTAATTACCTTTAGGTCGGGCGTGTCCTTCTACAGGCTGGTCTGGTTTAGGACGAACAATGCAATAAACCAAATATTAGTCGACACTAGTAGAAAAAAACGTCCCCAGGCTTGTTCGTTGTGACCATCTTGGAACCTTCCTCCTGTAGAGGGACACGCTTGACTGAAAGGGTACCTGCTCCTCCCGCGAGCCTCTGCGCGAGCGCACGCCCCGCCCTCGGCCAGCGTCGACGCCAGGACGCCCCGCACCGAGGCGGTCAGCGCCGCCTCCAGCCGGGCGGCGAGCCCGCCCTGCAGGCAGCCGTGCTGCCCGGCTTCCGGCACGGGGGCGGCCACCGCCATGGGAGGCGCCCGCCCCCGCCCGAGGGGTCGCCGGCTCGGGCCCCAGAGCTCCGGCGATATATATATATATATATATATATATATATATATATATATATATATATATATATATATATATATATATATCCGGCGATATATAATATATATATATATATTATATATATATATTAAAAATATCACTCCGGGCGTTGGCTCCCGCTCCTCAACTGCAGGAGGGTCTCATGTATATGTATCACTCTGGGCGTTGGCTCCCGCTCCTCAACTGAAGGAGGGTCTCCTGGATGGGGTCCGAGGCAGATGGGGTCGGAGGATCGCGCCTCATCGACGACGCAGCGGCGACGCATCGGCGATCGACGTCGGCGAGACATCGGCGACGCCAGCGCGAAAAAAATCTGGCTCCTCATCGAAACGCATCGCTGATGCATCGTCGATGCGGCGCGATCCTCCGACCCCATCTACTCGGACCCCATCTGAGAGGTCTAGATCACGGTGGGAGCATTGGACACGGAACACTTCGGTAAGGAATCCAGGATCTGGGAGCCGTTGCAACTCCAATCGCAGATCGGCCATGGACATCACCGCCAACCTCATCAGATAAGGAATCCTCCAGGGTCTGCAACCTCCTGGGCACATTCCTCAACGAACGCCCCCAACGTATTCTTTGCATGCTCCAGGCGACGGATCTCCCAAGCCTCACCCAGCCGCGGTTTCCTCGGCTGGGGCCTCTGAGGTCCGTGATCGGGCCAGGGATGAGGCCCTGAACTCCGCGGCCGCGGACTGAAGAACCCAAACCTCCGACGCGACGACCTCTTCAATCCGGGCCGGTTTCCTCGGTGTCGGCTCTCATGGGGGTCTGGGATGAAAAACGGCCCGAGCTGAAAACGGTCGGGGACGACCCCCCCCCCAAGGGAAGGGGTCGGGGCCTCCTGGGCGGCGGCTTGCGCAGAGCACGTGGGCGGATAGCTGGGCGACGGGCGCTGCTCGGTGGGCCTCACCCCGCCGTGCCGCGCACCCGTGGGCCGTGGGCAGGCCGCCCTGGCCTTCGATGGCAACAGGACGCTGCGAGGCGCGGCGCTGAAACGGAGGTGCCGGCGCTGGCGCGGCATGCCGCGGAGGGGCTGCGTTGGGAGGGGGGCGAACCCGCTCAAGGGGGAGCCGTGGCGAGCGTCCAGAGATCCGAGGCTCCGGCAAACATTAAAGCGGCATTGTGCTGTTGTTGTTGTTGTTGCTGCTATGTTCGGCCGCTTGGGGGCTGGGCTGGCTTCGCCGATGCATTGCCGACTGACCTGCGATCGCAGCTCGCACGCGATGCAGCACAGGGGTGAGAGAGCAGTCCACAAGGGAGCTGGGAGGGGGGAGGGAGGAGGAGGAGGAGGAGGAGTGCACGTACTCAAGAGGAGGAGGAGGAGGAGGAGGAGGAGGAGGAGGAGGAGAAGGACCGACACACTCGAAATCGACAACATGGTCGCCGACGTCAGCGACGTAACCTGTTGCATAGACAGGTCAATGCCCCACTCCAGCAGCGAGGAGGAGTCGAGCGTAGGGAGGGAGTCCGCCAACAGCAGAGAGGAGGAGGAGGAGGAGGAGGAGGAGGATGAGAAGGAGGATGAGGAGGGGCAGGGAAGGGAGGAGGGCGGAAGAGGGGGAGAGGGAGGGAGGGGGAGGCAGGAGGGAGGGAGGAGGAGGCAGGAGGAGGGCGGAGGGGGGAGGAGGAGGAGGGAGGAGGGAGGGAGGGAGGGAGGGAGGAGGAGGAGGGAGGGAGGGCGGGCGGGAGGGAGGGAGGGAGAGCAGTCCGCGAGGAAGCAGGCCGTCGCTTCGCTGACCCCGTGTGGGCGGCCGGCGGCCGTCTCCTGCGGTCCAAGGCCTCAACCCACCAAGGCGCTGCGCGCAAGGCATCCGCCCACGCGGCTGGGCCGAGCTGCCACGACCCTCGAAGCAGGGCGAGCGGAGACAGCGGCAGCTCAAAATGGGCTCCCGGATTCGAGGCCTCCTAGATGGAGTCCGAGTAGATGGGGTCGGAGGTTCGCTCCGCATCGTCGAAGCATCGGCCGTGCACCCGCGACGCTGGCGAGGAGAAGATCGGAATCCGCGAGTTGAGACAATGGCAGGCTGAAATACACCCCTGCGTAGAGCCAAGAAAGCTTTAGGCTAAGAAAATCGACTTCACTCTCAACTGTGATACAGGTTCGGATCTATATACTAACGTTAAACGAAAAAAAGGTCCCAAGAAAACGCTAAGGCTCCACTCCAGATTCTTGCTTTTCTCTGGCGAAATCTGGAGTCCAAGAAGGTTGATGATTTGTCTTAGGAATTCTGATGGGTGTAGGTTCCCGGACCCCTCCCAGGGTCCGATCGCGCCAATTTCAGAGCTGCGTACAGCCGTGGCGACGAGGGCCCCCCTGAAGGCCAACTACCGTTGTCTCAACAGGCCCTCATCTGAGACCAGGCATCAAAGCACGGTCGCAAGATGCCCGCGGCAGGTCTCCATCGATCACGAGGTAGAGACCTCCCAGATGGGTCAGAGCAAAACGGGGTCGGAGGATCTCGCCGTACCGCCGATACACCGCTGAAGTATCGCCGATGCGTCGCCGACATCGGCGACGCATCGGCGACGTAAGCGTAGAGAAAATCGGGCTTCACATCCAGCCGCATCGGCGATGCATCGGCGATGAGGTGCGATCCTCCCACCCCATCTGCCTCGACCCCATCTGAGAGGCCTACGGTCGCGACCTCTTGCTTAGCGTGTCACGGCGGCGGTCCCCGCGACACACCATGCCCTGCGAGCGGATGGCATGTCGCTCCGCTCCGCGGGACTGGAGGGCGGGAAACCCTCGGTGCGTGGACGCCCGGGGACTGGGACATGGACAGCGTGTCGCGCCGACGCGTGGTGGGCCAGAACTGGCGGAGCGACACGCGATCCCAAAAATTCCGACCGTGTAAAATACCCACAGCCAGAGGGATGGAGCAGCAGAGGAGGGAGGATGGGGAAGCAGGAGGAGCAGGAGCCAACGAAAAATTCGTGACCGCTGCCCCCCGGCCAGGGTGAGCGTTGGCGCGCGGGGTCCGACGCCCGCCTCGCCGTAGGCCGCGGGCTGCTGCGCCCTCACGACGACCTCGCCTGGGCCAGCCGGCGGCCGGGAGGGGGCACACGCCGCTTGTCCCTGCTGCTGGTGCTCCTCAGCCGCGTCTGGTGTTTGGTCACGTTCGGCCTCCAGGGGCCCTTGCCGGGCTCCGGGGCCGCCAAAACACGATTCGGGACGGAATATGGCCCTGAGGAATGAGTCGGGACTTGCGGGGGCCGCGCATTGAAAAAAGGATGCGACGCGTGTCTGGGTCTCCTCCCTCCTCATTCCTTGTAGCGCGAGCGACCTTTTAACGAAGAGACCGCAACAGGGCCGCGATACATTTTCGAACGCTACCCAACTCCCATCGATACAACGTAGCCCCAAACTCGGCCCATGGCCTCGATCCTTCTCCTCCGGGCCATCAAACATTGGTCCAAGACGAAAGACTTCCATCCCATGGGAGGGGGTCGGAACCCCTAGAGGCTGGCCATTGCAAAGAACACCTCGTCGGATGCCTCGGCCGCCCGCCCGCCGCCCGCCCGGAGAGTGGGGGGGGGCGTGGGCGGCCATAGGGAGAAGGAGAACGAAAGAGGATAATGAAGGACTGAGCTGACTGACGAGGATGACAATGATGCTGACGATGGTGATGATGAGGATGATGATGATGATGAGGATCATAGCAATGATAGTGATGATGCTGCTGATGATGATGGTGATTATGATGGAGAGGAGGAGTGATAATAAGGGGGATTATGATGATGAAGATGCTCTCGCATTCGGCGGGAGCGATTGTCAATGATATACTTTCATTGCTGATGGCGGTGGCCAGGATGCAGATACACAACATGATGATGACGGCGATGCGGTTGGATGGTGAGAACGACGGTGTCCATGATATATCGAAGCAACAATGATGGTGAGTTCGATCATGATGACGGCGGCAATGATGATGTTGTTGGAAGTTTTGATTTTGCTGACACTAATACTGATAGCGATGATTATGATGTCGATGATGGTGGTGGTGGTGATGATGCTGATCATGCTGGTAAAGGTGGTGGTCATGGTGCTGCTCATGGTGATGATGACGTTTATGATGGTGGACATGAAGATGATGGTGGTGGTGCTGGTGATGATGATGATGATGGTGATGGTACTTTTTTTCCTCGACGTCAGGACCAATATCTGATATCAAAATATGGTATACACTGAAACCAGACTTGAGAGATCCGTCGCAGAGAGCCGACTGTCTCGTGTTGCCCCGCTTGGGCCAGACTGCCAGGGTGCTGCTCGGAGGGGCCTCCTGCGCAGCGCGTGCCTAGCAGCGTCGAAATGCTAGCTGAATAAAATTGGCCGCTTCGTCTTCGGCATTGAACTCGGGTGGGGTGGGGCCTCCACCTCAAGCAGCCTCTCTGCGTGTGCTGGCGCGGCAGGGGGGGGGGTGGAGGCGCGACGGAGGAGGGCGGGATGCGACCGTGACCGTGCTGCTACTGGCAGGGAGGCTTTAGCCTCGAACAAAAATTGGCACGGCGTGGACTCGCCTCCTCTGCGCTGTGGCCTGCGCTGTGGCGTGCAGGCTCGCTCTGGCAGAAAGACAGGCTCGCTCTGGCAAAAAGGCGGGTTCACTGCTCGAGCGTCTCTAGCCAGTGGCCTACCTCCTCCTCGGGCCAGCCCACTGGGGCCACGCCTCGGTGGTGGACCGCCTGGCCCTCCCACATGGGCGCGCCGATCACCAGCTTCTGCTTGGTGTCATCGTAGCGGTGCCCGAGCCCTTCGAGCCCTGGGAGGGGCCCAGTGGGAGTCGCCACGTCGCTCTCCGCTTGGGCGTCGCCCCCCTGTCCAGGGAGAGTAGGCGTAGAGGGAACATTAGCCGCTCGGAGCGCCCGCGTGGGCGCTGCATATACTGCTGCTGGGCGCTGTGCTGCTTGTAGCCGTCGAAGTGGTCGATGTTTAGGTCTGCTGCGTAGGTCGCTGCCCGCGATGCGTCCCACCGATTGGCAGTTGGACGCGCTTGCATCAGGGGCGTCCTCGATGGCGGGCGAGGGGCGGCATCTGGATGGCGCAGGGCGCGGCGGGGGGGCACTTGGAGTGGCCGGGCGCGTGGTAATCCGTTTCTGGCTCGACCCGATGTTGCGCTCGAAGGTGGGGTTTGTCTCGTCGTCGGCGTCCGCCCCGTCGTGCGTTGTCGCCGAGAAGAGGGAAGAGGTGCTCACGCTGGCCTCGGAAGGAGCCCACTGATCCATCTTGACAACTCGGAGGGCCTCCTAGTCTTTGCTAATATCGGCGTATGCGTCGTTGAGAGAAGACGCACGGTGGGCGCCCGTCTGGAGCCCAGCAGCAAGTAGGCCATAGTGCCAGCGGGTGCTGTTGTTCGTGATGTTGGCGCTGCTGACAGGCATCTTGATCTGCATAATCATGTGGATGTGGTCGGCAACATGTAGTAGGCTACTTAGCTTGGTGTGGATCTTCCAATTCAGCTTCACGTGCTTCACGATTTCCATAAAGTTGTCGTGGCCGATGAAGTAGTTGATGCTTGATCTGGCTTTGTTGTGCCCGTAGTAGGGAATTGCCGACGTCGGTTTGCATGTTGATGGCTGTCAGCTGGTGCGTCAGGAACTTGTCTTGAATCAAGCGTCCGAGCTCGGTCTCGTCGCTGGGTTGGTAGCTGCCGATTGCGTTGTCGGTGCGGCGCTGTCGTGATCGTCGTCCTGGCCCTTGGTTGAGGTCCGTGAACAAGATGGGCATGACGCGAATAGGGATGTCGGTATGTGCCTGCGGTACCCAGCTCCATGGTCGGCGGCATCCTGCTTTCCAGCGTTGGTAATGACCTGCTCCGTGCGGCCGCGGTGGGGAATGCGCAGCAGTGAGTCGAGAGCGGAGCTGGCCTCGATGAAGCTCGACGGCGCCCGCGCCCCGTAGGTCAGATTGTGGGGGGGTGTTGTGCCTTGTCGATATCTATCTTGCGGCTTTGGCGCTTGGATGCTGCGATGCTGCGGCTTACTGAGCTGCTCGTGTGCGCCCCGCGACCCCATCCGAAATGGACCCATGTATGATAGCGGCCGTCCTCGAAATGATGCGGGGCGTCGGTAGTGCACTGGCGGATCTTAACGCCTGCGTACATCATAATCTGATTTGCACGGCATGTGTCGGAGATGTGGTCGAGATGCCCTGGGACATCCAATAGTCCTTCGCGAGCTGGGTGTGGGTGTCGTGGTCCAGGTGGCAAGTCGCGTTCGGCGTGCAATTGTTCCACTGGTAGTAATTCAGGAGCCGCGTGGTGTGATCCTGCATGTGCTGGCCCTCTGTTCTGCCTCGATGCCCTCGGTCTCCGCTCGGCGCAGGCGGTTCCGAATGGCACCCTCCATGGAGCCGCCCACGCCACACTTGCACTGCCCTTCCAAGATCGCCGGCGCGAAGGGGGGCGCTGGCGACCCTATCTCCTGCAGGCGTGTCTTGTCCTCTGGGGTGTCGCTCTTCCTGAGGGGGGAGTCCAGGGTGTACTTGTAGCCGTCGATCTCCTGCGTGATGGCTATGATCCCTGGGAGCTCTTTCCTCGTCGCGTAGGTGTCCGTATTGTTGCTGCCATTCAGCCTGGTCTTGTGCGTCGTCTGAAGCAGCATGTGGCAAGTCACGTTCAGCGTGCAATCGTTCCACTGGTGGCAATTCAGGGGCCGCGTGGTGTAGTTCTGCATGTGGTGGCCCTCTGTGTTCGTGAGGATGTTGAAATTGAAGCTCAGCGTCCAGTAGTTCGGGGTCAGCGTGTCGTAGTCCTGCCTGTGCTGGCCCTCTGTGTTCGTGAAAATGTTGAACTTGAAGCTCAGCGTCCAGTCCTGCACGTACTGGCCCTCTGTGTTCGTGAAAATGTTGAATTTGAAGTTCAGCGTCCAGTCGTTCAGGGTCAGCGTGTTGTAATCCTGCATGTGCTGGCCCTCTATGTTCGTGATGATGTTGGAGTTGATTTTCAATGTCCAGTAGTCCTTCGCAATCTGGGTGGGGTAGTCCATGTGGCCAGTCACGTTCAGCGTGCAATTGTTCCACTTGTGGCAGTTCATGGGCCGCGTGGTGTGCCTGCGCTGGCCCTCTGTGTTCGTGATGATGTTCAAGTTGAAGCTCAGCGTCCAGTAGTTCAGGGTCAGCGTAGCGAGTCCTGTGCTCAGCAGGTGCGCGGCGCCCGCGCTCCGGAGCACGGCCATGGCGGCCTGGCGGTGTGCGGGGCGTCGTCAAGCGGCCCCCTGCCTTTTGGGCATGGCAGAGGGGCGGTGACTGGAGGCCGCTGCTCCATCAATGGCCTGAGCGCGCGGCGGCCTTTGGTGATGGCACTGGCGATGATGACGACGATGATGATTGTGATGGAGTTGATGGTAATGGTGATTCAGCTGATGATGATGAGCATGGTGGTGCTGATGAGAATGATTATGAGGACGGAAAATGGTAATGAGGATTATGATGATGAGGATGCTCTCGCATTCGGCGGAAGCGACTCGTCAAGATGTGCTGTTCTTGCTGATGGCGATGACCAGGATGCATATGTACAATCGGATGATGACGGACAAGCTGTAAGGTGGTGAGAACGACGGCGTCCATGATATATCTGCGCAGTGATGACGGCGGGTTCGATCATGATGGTGACGATAGATGGTGTTGGTGCGAATGGTGATCGCATTGGTAATCGCAACGATAATCATGATGAGTCTGATGATGGTGATGATGGCGCTGCTGATGCTGATCATGATGATACTTCCGATGATGCTGGCAATGGTGATGGTGATGCCGCGATGCCCATGATGATGATGATAATGATGATGATGATGATATCAACAAGCCGGAGGTGCTGATGATGATGGTGATGGTGCTGGTGGTGATGATGCTGTGGATGATGATAGTGGTGATGATGATGATGGTGCTGAAGACGGTGATGCAGCTGATAATAATGCTGACGGTGATGACGATGACGACGGTGATACTTATGATGTCGATGATGATGATGGTGGTGATGATGATGATGGATGCGGTGGCGATGATGTTGATGATGATGATTTGTGTTGAAGGTAATGGTGATTCAGCTGATCATGATGAGCATGGTGATGCTGATGAGAATGATTACGAGGAGGGAAAATGGTAATGCGGATTATGATGATGAGGATGCTGTCGCATTCGGCGGAAGCGACTCGTCATGAGATACTGTTGTTGCTGATGGCGATGACCAGCATGCAGATGTACAATCGGATGATGGCGCAATGCTGTAAGGTGGTGAGAACGACGGCGCCCATGATATATCGACGCAGTGATGACGGTGAGTTCGATCATGATGGTGACGACGGCGATGATGCTGATGCGAAAAATGATCGTATTGGTAACCATATCGAAACTGATGATGAGTCTGATGATGGTGATGCTGCTGCTGCTGATGCTGATCATGATGATACTTCCGATGATGCTGGTAATGGTGATGGTGATGCCCATGATGATGATAACAACGAAGCTGGTGGTGCTGATGATGATGGTGATGGTGCTGGTGGTGATGATGCTGTGAATCAGGATTTTGGTGATGATGATGAAGACGGTGATGCAATTGATATATGATGACGGTGATGACGATGACGACGATGATACTTATGATGGATGATGATGCTGCTGCTGATGATGATGGTGATGATGAGGATGATGGGGTAGAGAACGCGCGTGGACGCCGAGGGGAAAGACGCCCTCGTCCTTCGAAGTTCGTGCCTGCGCGCGCCCCTGAACATGTCGGGGTCGACGTCTTTGAGGACGCGGGGAGGGGGGGGGGGGACGTGGGAACCGCGCGTGTGTTCGGGGCTTGGGCTGGGCCAGGAGAGCTGGTCGGGGCCTGCTGGAGACCAGGTGATCGAGGCCGTGGCCTCTGAAATACTATTGTGTATGGAAATGAGTGCAGGCGAGACATAAAAAGTTATGTGAAACGGAAGGGGAGGGGAGGAGGGGGAGGAATCCTTGTAGTCGATGTCGCGGTGTGTTGGTGCCGCGTCGTTGGGTGGAGTCTGTGCTGATCGTCTGTGTTGGGTTTGGTGTTGATGCTGGCGCAAGGCGCCCGTTGTCGGTGTGGCGGTGCTTGGTTGTTGGTGGTCGGTGCTTGTGGTCGCGTGGTCGGCCGTCAGTGCTGCATGTTGCAATTCGTCCTATCATGCAGCGGCGAAATCTCTCTCGAATGACTTCCACCATGTCGTCCGTGTCGCAGCTGTGAGCCACCTCACATCGTTGGTGTCGCGGTGGAGGTGGAGGTATCGTCGCGGTTGGGTGGCGTCGTTGGCGTTGCGCTGTGTGTTATCATCCGCCTGACTGTCGATGCACGATGTGTAGAAACTTCCGCATATCGTCGTCCTATCGCTTGTGCTGGCCACCGTGTTGTCGATAACCCTGCCGCCTGCTGGTGTGTCGGGCTCGGGTGGGGTGGGTCGATGCTGTCGTCAAATGTTTCGGGTGGGTCTGATGGAGTCGGCGGGTCGCTGGAGGCGTCGTGGTCGCTGGAGTCGTCGGAAGCGTTGCCGTCGAGATCATCGTTGTCAAATTTGCCAGTCGCTAGGGCAGCACGCGTTGGAGAAGCTGCTGACGTGTATCGCCGCGGTGTCCCGATAATCGCCCTGATCGTCCCTCGTTGCGTGCGACGCAGCTGCTGTTTGAGGGGTTCTGCCATTGTCCATGACTCTGCGCCGTACATCATTGTGGGTATGACGGTGCCACGGTATAGTCGTAATCTGTGCTTGAATGGGTAGTGCTTGCTCTTTAGTTCGTGTCTGTGCCCTGTGAAACACGCCCATGCAGCTTGGATGCGTTGCTGGATCTCGGTCGTCGATGCGTCTTGAAATGATATGGTGTGGCCGAGATACTTCAACTTCCCGGTGGGTGGTAATGTTTCAATGTCCATTGTTGCAACTCTTGCCGATCGCGTTCGGGTCCTGGTCCAGTTTGTCATGATCTTGGTTTTGGCCGGGTGTATTGCAAGGCCGTGAGAAGCTGCTGCCTTGATTAAATCCCCAAGCAGTGTCTTCAAACGAGGTAGTGTCTGACTGACCAGGAGGATGTCGTCGGCGAAGAGGAGGTTGGTAAGAACAGATTCGTTGGTGCGTGCTAGTTGTGCTCCTCGTCGCCGTCGCTGCCAATCCGGAATGAGAGGTTCCAGGGTGTGCTGTAGTAGAGCGTAAAAGAGCAGTGAGCTCAAAGGGTCTCCTTGTTTTGTGCCTCCTCTGAGCTTGAAAGGTTTGCTGGTGGAGTCGGTGCGGACAAAAGCCTTCTGGTCGTGGTAGAGACGCTGGAGCAGGTGGACGTACTCGGGTTGCACGCCTTGTCGTCGTAGTGCTGTCCATCGGCTGCTGTGTTCTACTGTGTCGAACGCTTTCTTTCGAGGGATGAAAAAAAAAACGCCCTACCCTGGGTCACAAATGCGTGGTCAGGAAACTTGCTGGGAGCTCCCACAGGCCAGAGAGCCGCCAGAACGCCTCGCGGCACGCGCGATGCGCAGGGTTTACCCTGCCAGCCCACAGGAGGTTCAGCGCACAGCGCCTCATAAACCAAGGTAGGGGCGTGTTGCGTGTTTTACGCCCTTGATTCTTAGAAGGGGAGGAATGCTGGAGAAGAAGAGGAAGAGTGTGGATCGAGTCGTCCTTCTGCTGTGTCTACTGTGCCAGGGGAAGTTGGCGGAGAAGATGAAGAGTGTGGAGGGACTCGTCCTTCTCCTGCTACTGCTCCTTCATAGTCCTCCTTCATCGTTCTTCTCCTCCTCCTCCTCCTCCTCCTCGTTCCACCTCCTTCTCCTGCTGCCTCCTTCTGTTCTTGCTCCATCCTCCTCCTACTCCATCGTAAGCATGCCCCCCTTTATCGTCCTGTTTTTACGTTATACTGGCTTTGTCCACGCAAGCTGTAGCGGATGAGCCCTCCTGCTCGTGACCCATCCCCCTTCCGTTCCGCGTTGTTTTCTCCATCCTCCTCCTGCTCCCTCCTCCTCCTCCTCCTCCTCCTCCTCCTTCGTCTTATTATTCCTCCTCCTCTTCCTGGTCCTCTCATGTCGCATGTCCTTCTGCCCACGCCAATTTTTCTTCTCCCCAAGCATCCCCCTTCCTCCTACATCATCCTCCTAAACGGTGATAAACAGGTGCAGTTATTGATTCAGGCCCTCGAGAGTTTGTGTCTGCAGTGCCCCGACGAGAGTCACAGAATTCTCCGACGCGGCGATTCCTTCTAGTGGGCACGGTGGAAACGGCATCTTGAGAGTATCGCAAACCAGTCCGACACCGACTTGGACAGGCTAGTGGAACTTCGCAGCCAGCAGAGAACGATACATAAATCATTCAACGAATTTCATGAATGGTCAGAATCTGCACCGGCTGTCGGCGCCCTGCATTGAGCAATCAAGGACACACCAATTCCCTCTGAAACGCTCGAGATAGGCCCAACTACGCTGGTGCATCCGCGTGATATCCTCGATGCTAAGAGTAAGCAGTTTGAGAGTTGATGGTGTCCCGAGTTCGCCTGCCAAGACTTCGATTTGCTAATGGAGCTTTTTGAAGCGATCCGTGAACGAGTACGAGGTGAATCTTTAGCACCGCTGGAAGTAGCAGATATTCGCGCTGCCCTCAGACGGATGAAACCGTCATCAGCTATGGGCGTCGACAGGGTGTGCAGCCTTGATTATGACAGGCTGCCTGATGCAGCCATTGCGGAATTGGCTGGTATTCTCACCTTGTGCGAGCTCCACCAGGGGTGGCCCCACCAGGTGCTCCTCACGCTAGGTACCCTTCTGCCCAAGAAGGTTGCCGGGGACCGTGTGATCGGCCTGTTGTCGCACCTAGGCCGCACATGGTCCCAGGCGCGGGAGGAGCACGTCCGCACTTGGACGGACCAGTGCGAGGCGCACTGGGACGCAGCTGTGAGAGGCAATGCGGCTCTGCGAGAAGTATTTCTTCGGTCAGTTGATGAAGAACTAGCAGTTCGCCTTAGAGCCTCCATAGGCAACGGTATGATTGATACTCGAACTGGAGTTTCCACCAGAAGTATTGGGACTCGAACTTCAGCAATGCATGGCAGCAAGATGTGTGAGGCAAGCTGGAGCATATGGATCGCCTTTTGCTCCGACACGTTCCTTAGTACAGGGAATGAGATCTGGCACGAGGTTTGGTAAGTGCACTACTTATCACATTATGCGGCGAATCACAACGTGTCATGTCTA